ACATGATGGATTTTTTTTGTGAAAATGTTTTGACATCGATTGAACATGAGAGGTGGCTAGATAGAATATTCATGGTGACGCGTTGAGTCAGTGAGCGGCCCAATCAAGTGGGCCGTTCACTAATGGCCCTGGGCCACCTCGCCCCCAGATTCTATGCCCTGCCCGGCCCTAGTGACCAATTCTTTTATCACATTTTCTTCTCCTCTTTTTCTTTTGTCACAAAAGCTTCATCCTGATTTTATCAATTCCACAGAAAAAAAAAACCATCGTGTTTCTGTCTGCAATCATGCTGATCCCCAATCCAAGATTATCTTCACTATTGCCTTTAATTTCTCCAAGTGTGACTTTTTTAAAAAATCTACCGGATATCTCTGCAGGGGATTGGAATAATTAGGGAGCACTTGTTTGTACGTACTAGATAAGATAGATGCAAAAGATAGAGATGCATGGACCCTGGCTGCCTTGATCCTCGGCAACCATCTAGCAAACATTAGAAAGTGATGACAAAAGTTTGCTGAGTGCAAGGCTACGTAACATTTCCCCCACGGTTATTACTTATATTGCCATTGGTGTTATTCCTTAATTTGCAATGATTTGTGTTTTTTTTCCAATTATCTTACTGGCAATCACCTTCCAAGTAGTACTACTGAAATTACAATCAGATGGGTAGACCATACTATTGCACATCTAGTTCTCATCAAAGTTTAAACTCTATACAAATTGGTCTTTCATAAATTTTAAGAGTATATACTCGAATATGCATTTGCTCAAACACTCCAATCTGAAATTTGCTCCTATGAAGATTTGAACTCAGAACCTTATAATACTACTTAGATCACAATTGCAACCATTATGGCCTATTTGGTATAGCTCCAACTCCTAAATATAACTCCAGGAGTTGAGTCTGGAGTGGAGTTGTGGAGCTGCCTAAACCCAGTTCTACAACTCTATTACATTTTGTGAGAGAGCTCCACCCAACTCCACTCTCAGTTTTGATGGAGCTGAAATTGTTTGGCTGAGCTCCAGCTCCAGGAGGGGTGGAGTTGGAGCTGGAGCTGTGCCAAACAGACCCTTAGACTGCATGCTCTTTCGCACACAAGTGTTTAATGCACCAAACGATTTATAGCGGGTGGAGAGAACATGGTATGTTTTAGGTGTGCGCTTCCAATTGCACTCTCAACAAAAGCGTCGATGACGACTGGCCTGAACAAATGCGAATCTAGCAGCATATACAAGTTGAGAGTATATTCTGCGAGGGTAGCTCCAACATCAGACAATTTGCACAGCATCCTGCACATAATTCTGCAGGCCACTACATACTACTAGCTACAATTTTCCATACACAACAGGGAGCTTAATTTTATGATGTACTCCTTATGTGTGAGTAGCCTTTGTGAGTGTTCATATGGGAAGAATTTTCGCAGCATGCATATATGCTAGCTGGTGCGAAGTTTGGCCAAAAGCCTGAAGTGCAGTACCCAATCGAGGAAAGAATACTACGGCCGTACGTACTTGTTTGTGCACTTTGTATGCCAAAAAAAGCAAACTAGACAACTCTGTCATTAACGTGCATGTGGTCCGTGATCGAGTATCAAATCAAGTTAAGTAGCTAGGCAGTTAATTAACTGAGACCCTACTTAATTAATTAATCAATTTGGCAAGATTAAAATTCCACTTCTTAAGAACCACATGCCAGAAAGGTAGAGGAGCTAGCTGAAAGTGTGCAACGTGTGTTTCCATGCATGTTGTGCAGATAATTAATCATAGGGTTAGTACCTAGATTTTGTTATTATTTCCCTCATTGTGAGCTATATATAGATATAATAATATATATAGCTGCATGACCTATAACCTTAGCTAAAGGTCAAGAGATATATATGTGTGATTTATGTGGTGTCAGTTGAGATATAACTAGATTTCCACTAGGACACATCCTTCTAAAAGTAGTAAATATATAAAGGAGGTAGTTTGCATATGATTAGTTCATGGATTGGCCCTACCAATTGGGTTAGTGCAAGAAAAGGGAATGTTTAATTTTGTAGGATGAATAAAAGCAGTTTAGATAGCAATGCTATCTTGCTACCTTCCACCCTCCGAGGAATCAGAGATGAGAATAGTGGGAATGCTAGGTGCACAGATAGGCCACAGCTAGCCAACTGGTGTGAACTCCACTGAATACTGATTAGTCTTCAAAAATAAAATTAACACACTGATTAATTATATGGAAACCGGAGAACGGCATGGTTTTGTTAAAGTTTTTGGTGCAGGCAGGAACTGCAGACGAGCTACACTTGTCAATTATTGTGACCGATCGATCAATGACGATGCAAAGATGTACGATGTGTACTTTATTGGACGTCACTAAGAGGGGAAACTTTTGTCTCTCTAGAACATTAGCTTCTACTACGACTAATAAGTTACATTGTACCCTTATATATCTAGTTTATTGTTTTTTCTGTTACAGATACGTGTATGTTCACACACCACATTTACTCACGAACCTCCTAATGCACTCCTGTACACATAGACTTAAAGAAACAAAGGGCACTGATAAATTTATACTACCACCGTTTCAGATAATAAGACTTTCTAGTATTGCTCACATTCATATATATATATATATATATATATATATATATATATATATATATATATATATATATAGGACACTCATATGGGGCACCATGGTGCCCGGGCACCATGGTATCAAATACACAAAATCACTCAAATTTTTCAAAATTTTCAAATTGTGAGTATATACCTAGTTATAATAACTCGATTCATACCTATACCTATCAACAAAACAACTCAAATTTAACTTTATTTCACAATCCATGATTACATACCTAACTAATTATATGTATGGATGCTATATACCAAGAATCAAAATCTAACAAAAACAAGTTCAAATTCAGTTCAAACTTGCTTTGAACTAGTTAGTAAAGTAGCTAATGTTAATATCTAAGTAATTGAAAAAGTTTCATACTCGTTTGAATTAGGTATATACTCAATTTCAACAATGGTGCCCGGGCACCATGGAGCACCAAACAAATTTAATATATATATATATATATATATATATATATGTTAATGAATCTAGTCACATATATGAATATGCCTAGATTCATTAACATATGAATGTGGGCAATGCTAGAAAGTTTTATAATATGAAACTGAGGAAGTAGCAGAAAAAAACTGTATACCACAATTAAACCAAAATAACGCATTTCTGATGCTGTTTTTTTTAAAATAACACTACTAACTTTTTTGATGGTAAAATGTTAAAATATGGCTAAATATTTCGCTATTTTTTTAGCATCTAAATTTATATGTGAGTAAATTGCATCGTCGGTACACGAACTTATCAGGTTGGGTGCAATCTAGTGTACAAACTTAAAAAATACTCGTTTTGATGCACGAACTTGCGTGGTGCGTGCGGGGAAGTCAAAAAGGACATTACATGACTAATGTTATTGATTTAGGGGCTGATTAGGATACTATGTAAACATATATATGAGAAGGTTGCCATTAGACATACACCTATTCAATAAAATATAGAATAGGATTTAGTGAATGTAGAAAAAGATTAAAAAATCGAGCATTGATATAAGGGTTAGAAACATATGAAATTCATCATTTCAACCATGAAGGATAAAGTAGAGACTAAATTTATAAATATTGCATGTCTTATACATAATCACTGCACGTATGCACGTCACATCCTAATCAATATCAAATTTATAAAATTAACATTGCCAAGTTATTTTGGTCCTCGTTCTCACGAACTAGGCAAGTTCATGTACTGAAACGAGCATTTTACAAGTTTATGTACTAAATTGCACCCACCTATAACAAATTTGTGTACCACTAATACAATTTACTCTTTATATATTCAACATTATCTCTCGTAGAAAAGGGGATGAAACAAGAATTAAGTAATACGGTGACGGAGAGATATGCGGTGCAGATGGCTTGTAGAAGAAATAGTGACGTTAAGGCCTACACATTAGGATTGACTAGATACACACAACACACACGGATGGGCCGATGGGCGTGCACGTTTTATGCACAAGTTTTCCAGAAGAATCGTAGGTAAGGTTACTAGGGTTTGGAACACGGTCCCCAACCAGGGTATACAAAACCGCGCAGTTACCATGCACGGTACCTTTTCATTTTTGAAATCACGGTATCTCTCATGATTTTCACGGTAACTACAGTTACCATCTTACCGCGGGGGTGCAGTAACCGCGCCAATAACGATAAGGGGAATCCTGTCCTCAACACACACAAATGGACTACGGCATTGGTCAGCAATGAGGCGGACGAGTTCATCTTTCGCTAGCGGAGGACAGGAGTGTCGGGAGGGGAAGAGGACGCGGATGAAGAAGCCACCGGCAGGCAAGGGGCGCGGGAGCGAGGCGGCGGTTGCCTCGTGGAATCAGTGTGATAATTTGCGTGTGGGAGACTAGTGGCACTATGGGCAATGATTTGGTTTGGGTGGCAGCTCCGTGGCGGTGACAATGAAGGGGAGTCGATGACTCCGCTGTCCGCTCTGCCTATGGCATCGGCTACTGCGCCTCCGCTTTCACCGACCGCGTGCACGGCGTGTGCACGGACATGCAGTACTGCTGCCCTGACTCCGCCAACTTCCGGGCGGTGGACTTCCTGCAGTCCAACCGTGGCTGACGGCGGCGCCGATGACAATGTCGTTCCCAGCGCGCGTGTGAAAGGGAGAGAAGGAGGAAGAGTTAGCCGCTGACATGTAGGGTCCATGTGGGTCTCACTTGCAACGTCAGTTAAAACTAGTTACTATGCTGTCGACGGACCAAATTTGACGCGGTACTGTGAGTTGGACGAATTTCAGTCTGGACAATAAATTGTACGTCTTAGAATGAACTTATTCCCCGTGTGGTACGACGCGGGCATGACGAGGCCCGCCCATACGTGTGCCTGTCAGAATTCCAGATTTAGCCAGCCCGTGCCTGCAGCCCAGCCCAACTCCCACCTGTGTGCAGCCCACCACGCGACGCGCGACTCACCCTCTCCTCCCTCCCTCCCCGCGCCGCCCCCCGCTCCCAGCCGAACCCTCGCTTCGCCTGCGGCCTAACCTTCTCCGCGCGCGCGCCGCCGCCGCCGCATCGACCGACGGGAGAGTCAAGGTACGCCTCCGTTTCGGCCGGCTTTTACCTTTTCTGTCTTGCCCCCGCGACTCGTTTTTTCACCGGGGTGGTAGGATTTGGTCGGGGGGATTTGGGGGTGGGAGCAGCAGGAGGAGGAGGGAAGGAGGGAGAGGATGGTGAAGGGGAGGCCGAAGCCCACACCGGTGAACGCGCCGGCGGAGGTCGTCTTCGACCCGTCCGCGCCCGGTGCCCGGAGGCCCCGCCGCCCTGGGGCGCCTTCGTCGTCGTCGTCGACTGGCGAGTGGCACAACTTCATGGTGAGCCCGCCCTCGCCCTTCTGTATCTCGAGACTTATATTATTGGTTCATGGTGCTCCTGGTTGAAATCTTGCATTTTCTGTTTTGAGTTAACTCATTCTTGCCACTAGGGATCGAGTCTTTCGGATATGTATCGGAAGCCAGCTGCGGAAAAATCTGATGATACTTCTGATGATGATGAGGAGCCTGACATTGATATTGGGAAGTTGTTGAAAGATGTAGAGCTTTTCGGTAATTATCTCATCTCATACTACTTTTGTGAAAGCTGGTAGTATATTCTTTATATTGTCTACAAGTATTTATCCTTCTTTAATTTGATTTCAACGAATCAGATTAGTGGCAAGCCTTATTGCCTGTGAGAAGTGTGCAGAATTCACTGCACCTACTATGTCAAAAATAGCAATAGCATGTGTGTTTTAGTTGAGGTATTTGATGATACCATGTGCCTGCTAGTTCAAGATTTATTTATTTTTTTGGCAGCAAAACATAATCTGAAACAATTGAAAATTGTTATCCTATGTGCCTATGCAAGAAGTTATTCCATGTGACCATTTGCCATCTAACTAATTATGATGCTATGGAGTTTGGTTGAGGAAACATAAATTCTGCATTTTGTTAACATCATTCTTCCTTTTGTGGCCACTGTTCATAACATGTGGTATTGTTATGTCCCCTATTTTGCTTGTTGTCCCTGGAATGCTTTTGGAGACCATTTGTTTGTGGAGAGGCTTCAGATAGCCCCTTGATAATTTATTGAGGAATCATTTGATTTTGTCTTTGCATCAGTTAAATTTCATTTGGATTGTGTTGTCTTGTTGTCAAGCATTTTACCTGTACTTGTTTCAAGATTTTTGTTCCATCCTTCCTTGAAACCTTAGATTTTGATCTCAACAAATTATTGAAGTATACGTTCACTTGATGCTAGGTGCATCTACATGGAAGGAACGGAAGCAATTAGAGAACCGTAAAGTAGTTCAGTTGGGTGGAAAGGTAATCAATTTTTATTCCTTTATCCTGTAAAATTACAGTATCTTACAGTTTTGATTGTCTGCAATAGGCCATTAAGAAGCACCGAACGCCGTTAAGTGTATCAAAGCCAGCTATGAAGAACCAAAAGAAAAGAGAAGAGAAGAAAGCGGAAGAGGTATGCTAAACTTCAGCTTCTATAAATATTTTTCCTGGCCAGGAAGTCACTGCCACCCAATAAAATTGCAAAAAATTGCTGTCTTAACGATGATTAACATGACAATTCTATACAGGAAAGACTACTTGGAATATTTAGGAAACGGGATTCCAAGAACAGCAAAGCTCAAAAGACTAGACCTGAGGACCGAGTACTTAGGGCTACCCAAGGGCACTTCAAGAATGGTATACTTGATGTCAAGCATCTTTTGGCACCACCCAAACTATCGGGTCGGGATGCGCCTGAGCAGAAAATGAGAATGGGCAAGAAAAATGGCAAGGGAAAGCAGAAGGGAGGCAGAAGGAAGAGACGTTAGATAAAACACCCTATTAGCTTTTGTATTAAGATGGACTCATCATCTACTTGTATCTTTCAGTGTAAAGATCGAAAACATTTTGCAGAGGCATGTTTTGTTTCAGTGTCTTATGAGGCTCAGCCTCCGGTTCGATTTGCATGTAGTCTGGCCTCTGCAAAGAAAGCCATTTTGGGCTCAAAATTATTTGGCTTTTGGGTCCCTGGGATTATGTTGGATGTGATGCGGAGCTTTTGCAAGTGAAAACTTTCACAGATCACATGGTTGTCAGAAATAGGGATAATGTTGTGAATTTGGATTGCAAAACCCCGCAACTTCTGAAGAACAGTTTGTGTAGCGTGCGGTAGTTGTATACTTTCTTAGTTTGTTGTCTGCTCTTATGAGCGGACTAAGCACAACAGTTTGTTGTCTGCTGTTATGAGCGGACTAATCACAAACGAATCCGGCAAAAAGAAAATGCTACTAAATCTGAACTTGACCCTGCAGCAAATGTGCCTACAATGCCGACGAAATTTGCCCCCTGCCTTTAGTCTGCTTGGAGAGTTCGTGTTCATTATTTTTTTTATCTTTCAACCCAAACTCACTTTTAGCAGACAGGGAGAATGGATCAATGAATTCTTGTAACAAGGAATGTTCACATCTAGGGCATTCTGCCCTTTTATTAGAAGGGACACACTCGGCCTCACCTTCCTGATAAGGTAGGCAAGGCATATAGATAGAGAATAAAAACCGGCTTTCACTAAAGCGATCTAGTCCGTGTAGGGTAAACTAGAAAAAATAATGGTTAAAAGCCTCAGCTGCAGTTGAATTCTACGTTTGAAGAGTTAAAATCAGGTCATAACTCTGCGTGTTTCCGGTGCATGATGTGCTTCACAACTTCATATGACGAGACGACGATGCCCACTGAAGGCCCTGCCCGTGCCATTCGAGGACCTGCACCTCTGAATATCCCGCTGATGCCTTCCTTACTGCAACAAGTGTCGTATAACAAGTGTTACATGCATCGAATTATGTGGATAAGTTGTTTTAGTTGCTAGATACTACTATATTTTTGTTGATAGTTAGGAAACCAAGGAAACATGATAATCGGAGAAAGCACAACTAAGCAAGTGTGCATGCTTGCAAGTTGAAATGCCAAGAAAAATAAAGGTTCACGCAATGCCTAGCAAAAAAAGAAAAGTATTCCTGGAGCTTATATTTTTTTGTTGGAAAAAAAAATCAAGTGTCAAGTAGATCAGAATACTTTTCTTGACAACACAACCAACCCCCCCCCCCCCCCCAAATTTCCCCATCCCTTCAAAGTTCTAATATTGACAGATACAGATTTTACCATTGAAAGAGCTATGGATAGACCACAGGTGCAAGGTCCTCACCTATATTCCACAAGAGCAACTGTTCCTATGGGCAACGTTTGCTATTGCTATACACAAAATACAGCAAAGGATTACTAAATAAATTTGTAATACCATACCTCCATACTTCATGCAATATGCGCCTTGTGTTCATGTGTAATACCCTAGCTGGGTCCTTCTGAAATGAGGATACATAAACTAGTAAATGAAGAGTGTTTAGCAACAAAACTAAACAGAGGTATTTTTCAAGTTATTGTTAGTATCCTGTTCCAAGCTCTTTGCACAAGGACATAATTGAGTACATACGGAAAAGTCTAACAAACCGAAGTTTGGTTTAGGACAGTCTTAAGAAACTAGATATAAGTCATCGAGAGTCAAGCTTGCCTCTATTTGTCTGCGTGTCTTGGCAACATCGAGAGGACAGGTAGCACCAGCAGAGATAACTCCAGCAATGAAGCCTGCGGAGAAGTTTGCCCCCAATATAACAGCTGCATTGCTTTGCTCGCCAACTATTCTTATCAGATGCCTTCTAGTCTGTGCAGCAAGAGCATTAAAGATATGAAAAACACAGTGAGCTCTATAGGTTTGGCAGAATCCAAATTATCTAAACCAGAATAGAGTATACCAAACTTCAGTAAAGTAGCTCACTGGTTCAAGAACTGTCCAGCATATAGCTGAGAAGGGGACGTCACGTGCAAGTTGTGCTCCAAGACCAGTCCATAGAAGGTGGTATGACCGAACTGTTCGCAATGTAAAATATGTATAGCTCAACATTCATAAGAATAGAAAAATAGGGCTTCAGTTCAAAGCTTCAAAGGTACATTAGTATAACTTAATGTGAATAACTAAGTTGACGTTGTTTAGCAATTTTGCTGATGCCCTTGAATGAGATGAGAATGCATGTTTGTGTTTCGGTCAAGGCTAACAAACAGTACATAGGAAAGTACATACTATTTTCAGGATGATTGATGCTCTGTCTCAATGCAAGCACACCAAGCAAAGTCTTCCACATTCCAGGGGGTTTTCCTCCAACATTTGATACTTTAAAGGCCTAATTATATAAAAAGAGAGTAATGGCATAAAAATAAGTGCCATACAGAATAAATTTCGTTATCATAAAAAATGTTTAGCTGTTCAGGTATAAAACAGTGGACAAGGTCATTTTAAGGCTTCATTTATGCACAAATTTGAAGTGTTACTTGTAACTTCAAACACAATTGAAGTGTTATATATAACTTCGAAACTAAGTTGTTTATAACTTTGAATCACGAGTTAGTTATTGGTTTTGCTTCTCAAAGAGGATGAATTATGCATTGCAGAGGTTCTTTATAAAATCTTGTGGTTACTAGAGTACGTAGCCTAATTTCACACCAGCACCCTTTGATTGGTTGACACATGTAATTTTATTTTAAATTACAAGGATGTTGTACAGGGAAAAGAGAAGATACAACAAACTGACCTGCATCCGTGTTCTTGCCAACTCAATAGGGGAACAAGTTATGCATGCCAATGATCGGGCAACAGAGCCAGCAATAAGAGGAGCATATGGTCTCAGTTTAGGAAAACTATGATCTGAATATTCTTCAATCCAATTGCGCAATAGATCGTATGAGGGCAGATATATCCCAACCTAAAGGAGCACACAGTAAAGAGAATTTGTTATCTGCCGGGCTAAAGAGGGGTTGTTATGGCAATGTCTACTGACAGCATATAAGGATGCAGAGTATATGGATATTGCCGAAGTGCCAAGTATAGAATCCTATAGGCCTATAATGCTGACATAAGCAGAAGACAAGTTCGCACTAACCAAAATTTTATATCATAATATCCTAGAATCCTAGATAAGTTAAAGTATGGTAAATGAAATGCTTCAGCTGAAATACATTATACATCTGCAGATAAGATAATAAGATATGCGCAATATGTATCTGATGTTCCAAAACCTTCCTAGGGAAAGAGATTCACAGATCAGAGTGTTCCATCAAAACTCAATAGACATCTTAAATGCCTTCAGCACACATTTTCTCCCTGCCTCACATCTTTATTCTTCATGCATTTTAACAGAATTACAAATTATCCACAGGCATGTTCAAAAGTTTTAACAAGACAAGCATTTTCCATCATTTTTCTTATGAAATACACATATACATGCATATCAACATGTATTTTGGCAGAAAGTAGCATTAACTATTACACTATTTGTTTTCCTGTTCATTTCCTGTACCAAGAGAGATCGTGGAAGTCCACAGAAGGATAATGATATGGTCATTAGTCATTACTTTTTAGTATTTGCACAGAATAATGTAAAGAGAGAGCAAAGCATATGTTTACAACACAAGGATAAATGAAAAACAAATATTTTCACCTGTGGGTTTATAATACAGATAAGAAGACATTGGTATGAAAAGAATAAAGTGGCGATCAGCTGAAAAAAAATTACCGTTGGCACTGCCAATGCTAGGCTTGCAGCAGTACCTCTCCATAGTCTAAAAACTCCTTCCTGCATGAGGCATATCAATCATTACAACAGTCAGATCGACATAATAGAGGAAGGTAAATAAGTATCAATTAGCAAAACATTACCTGTTTAGTGACCTTATAAAACACATCCATTGTCCCTCTGTATTGGAAGCATTCAGAACTGCATGATGGCCCTAAACCATTCATTCCAGGGTTGCACCACGGATAGCACCTAAAATCTGACCATATCTGAGCAATGTATTTTAGATAAAAACAAATAAACAAACAAGGAATATTTGAGATATAAGAAATTCACCCAACAAATACTCAACAAATCATAAGCTCCCTTCCACATAGAATTCAACATAGGATCAAGCAGGTGAGCACAGCAGCTCCATCTATCGAACGGCGAAAAAAAAAACACTATGTGGAAGAGAAATGGCAAGCTTACCGGATTATAGACAACTCCGGCCGCCTGTGCTTGTAACCTTGTCTGCAGGATGAAAAAAATAGGGACTAAATCAGCACGAAAACGCATATGTTTCCATACCCATGCAATCTAGGCACATAAACTTATGATGGAGAGCACCACGACGATATCTCCCCCCAACGCGTCCTCCCGATCAAATTCAACACACCGCAATTCCGTTGTGGCCACAATTCACCGGTTCGGTGTTGCGTCGTACGGAGCTCACCTTGGCGACGTCGAGCGGGTTGACGAGGACGGCGGAGACGACGGCTGCGCCGGCGGCCGCCACGGCGCGCTCGGCGAAGCCCATCCCGCGCTCGGCCGCCGCCACAGGCGGCGGCGGCGGCGGCGGTGGCTCCGGGGCTTGCTCCGCGCCCATCGGAAGGAGGAGGAGGAGGAGGAGGAGGAGGAGGCGAGGGGTGCAGGGGCGGATCGTCGTGAAGCGGTGGTGAGGAGGAAGGCCGCGAAAGGGCGCAGAAATCGCATCGCCGCCGAGAAAGTCGGGAGGGAGGGAAGGAGAGGAGAGGTGGACGCCGCCCGCCTCGACACGGCTCCTCGCCTCGCGCACTCTCGACGGTGCCACGTGGCGCGCTCGCACCGACGTGTTACGCTGCGTGTGCCCTCTCGCTGTATCAGCGGCAGGGTTTCCCAAACCGCCGGGACACCGCACCCCGGTAGTAACCGTCGCGCTGTACCTATGAAAAACAGTACGAAACCGTATAAAATTTATTAAAAATTTAAATTATTTTTATATTTATTTAAATTTATAGAGGTTATTGTAGTTTTTCTATTACCGTAACTCTGGTAAGGTCGATAACTATTGTAACCACGCGGTTACCAATGGTGTAAAGCCTGATTCAGCGGCACTGCCTAGTCTGCCTTTTGCTTAATCTAATCGCGGCGTTATAATCATATAATAGTAAACATTGGCTGAGTACAAAGCCCAACAAAGGCTTGAAGCAATCAAACTAACGGTTTTTGGATTGTTAGTAGTGAAATGAAAGTTCGCCCAGTTTGGTTCGGAGGAATTGTTGGTAGAGAAATGGAAGTTTAAAGGGTGAAAACTGTTAAGTCTAATATTTGATTAGTGAACGTGTAAGCTTTGGAGGAATTGGGTAGGGGAGTTTAACAGCAAACTCCTACATTTTTACCTGAGTGGGGTAGGTAATTAGCAAAGAATTTCACTTCTATGTATAGCTAAAACCGAAAATATAAACCGTACATCATCAAATACTACCACCGCCCTAAAATAAGTGCAACCGTGAGTATCCGTGTCTAACATTTAATTATCCGTTTTATTCGAAAAATTTATAAAAAAATTTAAAAAAATTAGGCACACTTAAAGTACTATTTATGTTTTATCGTCTAATAACAATAAAAATACTAATCATAAAAAAATTCATATAAGATAAACAATCAAATGTTGGACATGAATACTTATTTTAGAATGGAGGAAGTACAATTTAATTCCCACTCAAACTCCTCATAATTCTCATCTCTATTATTAAATAAGGGATTAAGAGTAAAAATAAAACTCCCATGATCAATTCCTCCATCATCTCCCTTTTCTAAACTTCCAATCCCTTTTCCTTAGTCTAAACTCTCAATCCCTTTCCCTTCTCTTGTCAAACAACCCGTAAAGTTAATTTTGAGCAATTGGTAACCATAGTTTTCTCAATTTAGATTATCACTTATCATCTGAAAATTACAGAATTTACAAAATAAACTATACATTAGAAGCTAAGAAATTCACCTTTTCCGTGTTCTTACCAACTACTCCTTCAAGTCATAAAGCTCTTCCAAACATAGCCTTCAACTTACCCTTAATCCCAACCTTGCAAATAGAGAAACTTTAAAGATGCTTGGCACACCAAGAGAGAAACAGACGAATCCACATACTATGATTCAAGCCATCCCTCGGAAATGCCCCATCTTGCAAAGCCAAGAGAGAAACAGACGAATCCACATACTATGATTCAAGCCATCCCTCGGAAATGCCCCATCTTGCAAAGCCAAGAGAGAAACAGACGAATCCACATACTATGATTCAAGCCATCCCTCGGAAATGCCTGGCACTCTGGCCTTGCAATTTTTTCTGCTTGGAAGCAACTGAATTTATCTCTCTGAGATTGTATATGATACACATGGTATCATAGATGTAGTAAAGCATTTGATCGTCACAATGTACATTACAATTTAGATAGATTGCTTATTAAAACAGCACAACGTTTTCGGACACTCAGGCCAAACCGCATCACACTCCATCGGTCTGCTCAAACGTGCCAATTGGTTTTTGCATAAATTTTCCAGCCAACATATTGAATTGTAGTATTGGATGATTTGAAAATACTACAACAATAATCTCATAACAAAACACAGCAACCTATTTGCTGAAAAAGAAAGATGTAATGCTAGATGTTCTTGACTAATTTTCAGCCCGCTTCTATTTTCCTTTTGGAGTTTCAGAGGTGCCTGTGGAGCTTGCCTCAGCCAGGGAAAATTTCTTCACTTTCTGCAACATTTCAACATAAAGAAAAGATAATCTCATCATCAGCACTTAAATTAGAATAATCAAATTTCCATGGCATGGAAACATCTGCAAAAATGACATATTAGCAATAAAACCCGCAGTGCTGCTTCAAAGCAACAACTGAACCTTCCACACTAAAATGACATTGGACACGACATATTTGCAAACAATTGAGGTTTTCCATAGTGCAGCTACCTTTTACCCTAGTAACTTTCTCCCAGTCGCCAGCAAAAACAAATTAGGAACATCATTTACAACTTGAAGATCGCTACTTGAATCATTTACAACTTGAACATCATAGACAGATTAAAATGTTCATACCACTCACATACTTTTAGAATATTTGAAGTTATATTAGGTAACCTTTAGTAGAAAGTTAACTGTTCTGAATATGGTTGTGAAGGTCCAATAACTGTAGCTACAAAGTAAAACTGTACATGGATAGAAGAAAACAGCTCTACAGAAAGAAGTACAATAGTTTGAGATCTATAAGGTAAGCTGCTGGAGGTGATGCTACTGGGTGCTAAAAAAGACGGTACAATCTGTGCCTTACAGTTCTGGTAAGGCGGTTCTTGAGTTGATGATTGACTTTTAGTTGTAACCTACTACAGTTTAAAGTTTAAACTCTATTGCCCATATAAAACAGTGACCTTCTTTAAAATTATTTTGCCCTTGGAAGTATTCTTGTATTAACAGTGCATTATTTTATTTGAGTGGGATTATTCAGCATTGCGCATATACTGTATCCAGACTCCAGATTACCAGCAGCAACAATTTCACGCTAATAAGCAAGTGCAAAAGAATGTAAGCTTCTCACAATGCTTGCGTCTAGAAGTGTGGGATACTTCCCATGCGGTGGTTTTCTTTCACAGTTCCTGAGCTGAATAGCAACTATGAAGGCGCCTTCATGTATATTATGAATGCAGTACTATCCCAATCCATCAAATGGATTTACTCAATCACAATCAGGAACGATTTTGCTATATCTCACTCGAAAGATTTTTTCTTATCTCTCACTCGATTTTCTCACTCAAATTTACAGTGCATTTTCTTGTAAGTTACAGTGTAATTTATGAAACTTACACTGTAACTTTTGTAAGTTACACTGTAATTTTTGAATCTTCGCATGTAAATTTTAAATTTTGTATTGGATTTGGTCTTTTTCTTGAGTATATGGTAATTTAGTGTTCATTATGATGTTTCTTAATTGCTTTTTGCTTTTTATTATATCTATCAGATTTTAATCCAAAGATTAAAAATCTGTGTGATACGATCATAAAAATCTTTCGAAAAATGTATAGGTACTCCCATCAGGAAATCAGGATCTCTTAAAATAAGCCATGTTCTATCAAAGCCAAATCAACAATTTGGCAAGCCCTTCCCCTCTTGTGATGTGAGAGCTCACGCTAATCGGAGGGAATACGATAATGGTGCTACGGGATAGGGAAATGGGGAAAGAGGGCGAGCAGTCGAGCACCTTCTGGGCGATGCAGGCGCGGAGGGCGTCGAGGGCGGCGAGGCACTTGTCGCGGTCGTAGCTGGACTCGGCCGCGCAGTTCAGCAGCGCAAGCGCCTCCTCCGCGCACACCGGCTTCGGCGTCGTCGTCGTCGTCGAATCCATGCCGATCCAAGCCACCGACCAACCACAGACGGGGAAAGCGAAGCACAGAGCACGTCCGCCGGAGAGAGAGAGAGAGAGAGAGAGAGAGAGAGAGAGAGAGAGGCAGTACAGTATGCCGAGGGTTTGCTTCCCAATCGCGCCGCCGGGTCGTATTTCAGGGGCGGAGCAAACAGCGGCGGGGCTGGTCCGGCGGCGGCGGCGGCGGCGAGAGGAAAGAAACGAAACCAGCGGCGGCCGGCGGCCGTTGCTGGGATCAAAAGGCGAAGGCTCTCGACTCTTCCCCCTTCTCCGGGCCGGGCCTTGGCCTAACCCATATTGGGCCCATTTAGAATCATCCGGCCCATTAACCCAATTTGTCTCTTTCGCGTCGTCTCTAACCTAACGTCCCAGAGAAATTTCGGGAAACTCCTCTCCCTCCAAAGAGCTCCAAAATTCTCGAAAACACCTCGCGACGCGGAAGGAGGCAGTTGCGAAGATTCTGGAACCTTCGGGAGCTAGGGTTTCCGGGATGGAGCCCGAGGAGGCGGAGGCCGTGCTGGAGACCATCTGGGACCTCCACGACAAGGTCAGCGACGCCATCCACGCCCTCTCCCGCGCGCACTTCCTGCGCGCGGTCCGCCGCCACAGCAAGCCCGCGGAGGGCCTCGTGCGGGTCAAGGGCGGCGACGGCGTCGACGATGAGGCGGCCGCGCTGGACGCGGTGGCCGAGGAGGCGAGGAGCCTCCACGCCATCCGCGCCGCGCTCGAGGACCTCGAGGACCAGTTCGAGTGCTTCCTTGTGAGTTCCCCCTAACCCCTGCTTCCTTGTGAGATTGAGCAAATCAACTTGAGCATCGCCTCTCGCGTAGTCGCGGCCGTGGATTTGTTGAAATGTGACGTTGTAGTGGACAGCAGGTTGCGAGAATATATATTTGTCTAATTTGGGGAGGATACCGAAATGCTCGTAGATTCAAGCGACTGTTTGTTGAACGTTGAAAGCCATGCTTAGGATGATGCCACATCTGTTCTGACGATTCAGGGCATGTTTAATTGTTTGCACCCATGTGTGTCTTTCTGAGGGCACTCGTTTGTACTACCAAAGCAGCATTTACATGTTTTGAGATTTGAACTGTCATAGATAAGGCAATTATTCATGCTTCAAGTTATTTCCTTTGAGCTCTGAATGAATTGTGATACAACATTCTTTCGTGCCATTAATCTGCTTTGAATTTCCAACAATTTTGTCCTGCAACTGCATGATAGATTAAGGACGCATGCTTTTTTTTCATTAAAAAGTTTTTTTTTTTGCTATATTTTGTTCTCCGTGTTGAGTCCTTAATTCTTAGTAGGTCTGTTTTTTTCCTTCCCGTGAACTGTTCAAGTGCCATATGTGAACAGCTGGAAAATGTTTCGAGCTTGTGAGTATTATCACATAGAAAATCTGAAGAAGTGAAATAAGAGCGATGGTTTTCTTAATACCCTACCAGTTTGCTGTACTTGTTTGCTTGTCTGGGAGTGTTCCTGAGCTGGTTTTGAAATTTTGTGATGAATGAGCGCTTGTAGTTTCTTTATCAGTTAACTTCGTGTTCCTGCTGTTCCTGCAAATTGGAGATTTGCTCTTGTCCTCCCAAGAAGCAATTACCACTGTTCAAATTTGTCGATATTGCTTGCTGAATCGAGTTAATAACACCAGAAAAGTATAATACTAGCGAACTAGCCTCCTACGTAGAGGGTAGCATCCTCTTAAAGAAAAGAGTGTCACGAGCTTATGAGGCACTCAATAATGGAAGATGTAAAGTATGGTTGGAACTTCAAATTTTTGGGTCGTTTCATTTTTAAGGAAATAAAGGATGTTGCATACATCCTTAAAGGAGCCAAGGAAGGCAAGGAACAAATTTATCTAGAAACCTGATTGAAATTCATGAAATGTGTTTGTTTGATGCAACCTACTTGTCCACCATTACATGTGAATATAAATCATCTTTAGTGGTGTTGTCATTGTTTATTGTTGCCTTGTGTTGTGTGAAATGCATACATGTATCTGTTGATTTGTTATGTGATTCAACAATTCACGTTACTTTACCAGTTTCACCCCTACCACTAGTTTATCTACTTCCACTGCCCCAAAATATAAGCATATCTAGCTATAAATCTGGACAGGTATAGCCCCCTACCCCTAGTTTATCTACTTCCTCTGTCCCAAAATATAAGCATATCTAGCTATAAATCTGGACAGAAATGTTTATATTTTGGGATAGAGGTGGTAGACATTAAAAATGTAATGTCCATGTTATGAATCCAAGCTTTTGAGCTCTGAACATAATTTCCTTCACTTTCTTCTGGGATATGCTGTGCAGTGTGTATGAAAGAAATATCATCTGAGCCAAGCATCCATTTGTTCTTAGTCTCTCTTCAATAGATTGATATGTTCGATGCTTAGTTTCATTATACCAATTGTATAATTATGCCTTGAATTCTTTTGCAGGCTGTCCAGTCACAGCAACAAGCAGAACGAGATATTTCACTAGCAAGGTTGGAGCAAAGTCGTATTATGCTTGCAATAAGATTAAATGGACACCGTGGGGTGAATAAGAAAATTATAGATGAAGCTTTGGATTTCGTGCGCAATGTCTGCCACGGTGTATGGCCTTCTCTGTCAATAAACAAGCCTGCGAAACTAGGAAGCCATTCTGGTGCTGACAGCAAAAATGCCAATTTCCTGGGGCAGATGGTAGCTTCTAGCGTTGCTTTGGCTAGGAACAGTTTCAGTATCAAAACCCTTGGTGGATTATTGGGCCATACTGGAGTGTTAGCTATTGGCATGATAACACTGCTGCAGTTACATTGGTTATCCTCCGGACAACAGAGCCCATCAACTTGTAGATACAGCTACAAGATGATCAGCCAAGAGAGTTCATCACAGTTTGAAACAGCTATGGATACCAGAATAAGTGATCTCGATGTGTTCTTAGCAAGAGGTTGAGGGGTCATGTTGTTTGTACATGTTTCCTGTAGTATGTACTCGTAGGATATCATGGCATTTGTGCTCTTCTGCTCATAGAATTGTCAGTTTAGGTACCTATCGCATTCGCTTAGGAGTAGATTTGTAGCCTGTTATCATCTCTTGTCGTTGTAAGGGAACACTGTATTTGATGTTTTCGTATTTGTGGGCGTGGTGTTTAATCCGTTTCTTGATAACCAGTACCTGCAAATGTGATTACGAAGATGTCAAATGTTTCTCATCTACCAGTACTACGTGTCTACGTTTGCCGCAGGGTGGTCACCGGGCATTGGTGGGTGTGCCTGAGTAGGTTGGTGGGTGGTGATCTTTGCCGGCCGGCGACCCACACCGCCCCTTTGTTGCCGGAGTGGAGAGGCACACCGTGCCCCGCATTGCAGTTAGAGGCATAGGGACTGGCCCAAAACAATACGAAAGCCCACAAGAAAACTTCAGGGCTGACACATCATGACCCATGGTCGGGAGCCCATCTGTCATCCAAGTGAAACGACTCAAACGAGCTCACGTGCGAAAACGTGATCAAACCAACCTGGTGTACTCCTACTACCTTGCAACATACTCCTATCATCTACTTCCTTTGTTCTAAAGTAACTCAAACCAAAATAAGATCAATGGGGATTGTCTGCAGTACTAAAAATGCAGTAGCAGATACTGACGTGTGGACCCGGACCCACATGTCAGCCACTGCTACTGCATTAGCAGTACTGCAAAGGATTTGCATCCAAATAGAATAGAACATATCCAGACTTGTGATACTAGAATATATCACATCTCATTCTATGTTGAGTTTATTTTGAGACGGAAAAAGTACTGCAAAAGAGCAGCTCAGCTCATCCTATAAGACGAGCTCAAGACAAATATTATACCTAGGTTGTGTTGGGATGGTGGTCAAGGATGGATATGCCTATCCATATTTGTAAGGATATGGCCATGCAGTTTTTTTTTCCCTATTTGGGGAGCTTAAAATTATGAGAATCTACTCGTTGGTAGCCAATTTCTAAGAATCTGGAGAAGCTGGGTTTTCCGGCTTCTGGGTTCTAATTCATATTCTAGATTCTAAAAATGCAGACACTTAGAATCTGGGTAACAATCTGGATTGTTTGGGGAAACTAGAGATTCTGTGAGAAGTTGCAGCTAATAAAAGCTCCCTAAACAAACCCAAATTTGATCTGGTAGATGGGATAAGCTTAGTTTATTATTGGTTGGAGGGAGAAGTGGATATGGTAGATGGATAAGTGGATTTGGTAGACTTGGCAAAAATGATGCATGGCCCTATGTCCATAGCCCATGAGCCCATGTTTTTTTTTTTGAAACTTATAACATACGCGTTACCACTCAGAACAAGAGGGAGCACACATATACAACATGCACGCCATATATTCCTATAAATGAAATATGCGAAAATATTTCAATGAACCATCATCCATTTCAACCACCAGATCTAAATTAATCATTACACCAAATAATTTAGATGCAAAATAAAGCTAACACAATGTCGTCGGACGTCGATTTCCCTGCCTGCTGCAAGCCGCCGCTGAACGCCGTCCACCACCGCCACTCGTGCCGCCTCCCACGCCCCTGCGCCTCCTCTCGCGTGGCACTTCACGCTGGAGCTTCAGGCTGTCGGAACCTCTTGTTGTGCCGCCAGAGAAGAGGAAGGGAGAAGCTAGAGCTGAGAGCTCCCAGAGACCTAGACCAGTGAGAAAAAAATAGGAGAGGAGAGGAAGAGAAGACGAGGGGGAGGACCGTAGGAGGTGAGCGTACACCACTTTTTTCTCTCACATGCACTCGCCCGCCCCTGTATCGTCTCATCCGCCCGTTTCGCCTGGATGCATCTATCCAGCATCTACTGCGAATATTCTCTAGTGATAGCCATATCCCACACCAGCTTAGCAACCAAACGCCTCCAAAAAATGAACGGCCATCTTCTATCCAGGCAAAACCTAGCATCCAAACACACCGGCCGTGCAGTCCAAGTAGTAATATCGGCCGAGCAGTAGCACTGTAGCAGCAGCCGTGCCTGCACCGGCCGGCTGCCCCGGCCGGCTGTAGCTACACCGATCTTGCAACTTGTCTCTCTGCACATTTGTGCTGGTACACGCATGCACCTGGAAAATGCTACAGTAATATGTGCACTTGTCTTGACCTGCCAAAAAAAAAGCGAGCAACCGATCCAACATGTTGCAGCTGCGCTTGCCGCGGTCACGGACACGGCAAGACAGAGAGCCTTGCAGTGGTCCGCTGATCCTCCTTCGTCCTTCCTCTTGTTGAGACTCGAGTGGTGCGAGTGTGACGCCGTGCGCGCGGCCGTATAGCCTACCGCTCATACGCTCTCCGTCCTTTAAAAAAAAAAAGAAACTCTAGGTTTCCGTGTCCACCGTTTGACTGTCCATTTTATAAGAATTTTTTTTTATAATTAGTATTTTCATTGTTGTTAAATGATAAAACATGATTAATACTTTATGTGTGACTTATCTTTTTAATTTTTTTTCATATTTTTTTAAATAAGACAAATGGTCAAACGTTGGACATTGAAACATAGTGTTTGTCTTCTTTTTTTTTTTTTGACGGAGGGAGTACTTCACGCAGAGCCCGAGGAGTGAAAGTACGAGTAGGTCTAGGCCGTGCTTGGTTTCCCCTGTTCCCAACTTTTCATCACATCATATCACATCAAAAACTTTCCTACACACATAAACTTTTAATTTTTTTTAAACTCTTAACTTTCTTCAATCCTAACTTTTTTTCAGGAACTAAACACATCCCTATTAGCAGTTGCTGTAGGGTACGCCATGATGATGGAATACTTCAGCTCCATCCTCGATCTGGACAGTTTCATCAGCCGCGAAAATCCATGCTCCTCGTCTCGTCTTTGAGGGATGATGATTGTACCGAAGAAAAAACATCTGCGAGGATGGCAAGGTACGAGTGGGTGCGGCGAGAGTTGGCTGTGTTTGAGGGTAAGGGTATCGAGAAGATTAGGTAGATACATAAAATGATGTGAGCCATTAGCGCATGATTAATTGAGTATTAACCATTTTAAATTTTAAAAATGGACTAATATGAATTTTTAAAGCAATTTTTATATAGAAAATTTTTGTAAAATATACACCGTTTAGTAGTTTGGGAAGCGTGCGCGCGAAAAACGAGTGATAATCTCCCCAATCTCTCTCCAATCTCCTTTGAAAGAACGCAGCCTTCGTTGTGCAAGGGTAGATAACTGTCCCGCTGATGAGATGTGTTGCGTGCCCCATCCCAACCTCACCTCCGATTCGATCTCCTCTCCTCCTCCTTCACCATCCCTGCGCTGTGCCGTCGCTATCGCTGCCCGTCCGTGTAACGCGACACCACGTCTCGTACTCACATCGATCCACGCGAGATACGGTGGCCTCAGCGCGCATCGCCGTGACCTCCTCCTAGCTTCATAGCGCCGCCGTGACCCGCACCGCACGTACCACCCATCGCGCCCGGTCCGGACTCCGGACCCCGCCGCGGCGCCGGCGACCGCGACGTTGTCGCCGTGTAGATGGAGCCCACGTCCTGCAAACCGGAAGGACGGAGAGCTAGCTAGCAACCAATAATGTTGCCATTTGCCGACCAATTTTGTTATATATTTGTCGACAAATTTTCTCTCTAAAAATTTAATAGATAATCAAAGTGTAACTACACTATAACCTACATGTAATTACACTGTAATTTGCATATAACTTACGTGTAACTTTCACATAATTTTAAACCGTTAAATTTGTTTCAAGATTTGTGCAAGTGAAGAATGACAAAAGTCACTACGTGCACACATGTAAGAGGATTCGTTCCCACGACCTTCGTTTCACCGGAGAATTTTTTAAAAGATACGTATTCCCTCCGTCCCTAAATATAAGATATTTTGGTGTGATGTGATACATCTTTGTCTAAATTCGTTATATCATGATGTGTCACATACCATCAAAATCTCTTGTATTTAGGGATAGAAAGAGTACAAGTTACATGCAAGTTACAGTATAATTACATCACAATTATATTATAATTACATATGTCAAATTTTTAAAATAAAATTTACCGACAGATATACGGGTGATCACTTTGCCAACTTGCCGCCTTGCGTTGCAACGAAGTTTTTTTTGTGAGTTTTCCCGTGAGATTTTTTTCCTACGTGGCGAACGTCTTCGTATCGCCAAAGATCCCGTGACGTTAAAAGCGGCAGCATCGTGGGAATAGTAGTAGCTATGGGGAGGGTTTGTACTTTCACGTCGTCCATATTTCCATCCATCGATCTCGCGTATCGTGCGAAACGAAACGCAATGCAAGCAAAAGCGATGGTGAGGTCGAAATCTCGTGGCGGAGGAGAGAAGAAGAAGCCTGAATTCGCTTTCGCTTCGTCTATACCGGCTGGTTTTCCCAACGACCTCGGCTGCCGTCGAAGTGTGAAATTGTGGTTTGCGTCCGTCAATTCCTGCAAGTTGGACTTTGGACAGGACAGAGATACTCCAGAACGGATCGGAGTAGTATCATAATTGGCCAATTAGTCATAAGATTACACACTAATCAGCGAGAGGTTGGTTACAAGTCGGCCACTTGGCCCGCCGATTCCGAGACCGATGAGCCGTGACACGACACGAGCAGGGACAAGCTGGCTGCTGACTGCTGTGCTGCTCCTGCTCCTGCTACTACGAGTCCACACAACACATGACTGCAATTTGCTCTGCACTACTGTGGTCTGTGGACACAGAGGAGAGCCGATCGCTGCTACGGCGAAATCCTCTTTTCAGCTGATGAATCTGCACACAACTCTGTGCCTGCGTGTCACTGCTCGCGCACGCTCACTAGAGTACAATGCTCAGGCAGAGAGCAAAAGCCCAAAGAGGAGGAAAAAGCCGTAGGCTTGCTTAGTGTGTCACTGAAAATTTAACTGCTGGAAATTACCCGGCTCTCTCTGCTCGTTGGCAAGAAGCAAATATATAACTGCTGTAGCAATCAACAGCAGGTATAGAGAATACAAGAGTGGTATTCCTACTGAATTACTGTGACTATCACTCTGTGAGATTGTAGGCGCCCCAGGAAATTACTCCTAGGAGTACTATAATATAATAACTACTACTACATTAGTCATATAATATAACAACTTTTAATCATACATCTAAATAGTCAAATAAAGGGGAAAAGTTATTATATTTTAGAACAG